TCAGTTTTCAAGTTTTTCACCCTTGTATTTCATGGTTTTTTATTGGTTTGTTGGAATACATTGCTTCGTGCATGACTACAGAAGGATCAAGTAGTTGGCCTATTAGATCCTTGGAAGCCTCGTATGCTCCCTAAGCCAGGGTTTCTTTTACTTGTGTAGCTCGCATATGAAATCATTTCATCATGAAAAAAAGTTACACATGTAGAAGACATGTAATTATGTATGTACACGTGGGGAAAAATCACATAACCTTTTGAACCTGATAAAGATAAATAGCAATTGCAGTTTTCAGAAAAGGCTCGATGGATCCTGAGCCCCAAAACAAATTTTCGGTGGTATATGTCTTTAACTGTGCATCGCAACCGTCATCACAAAAACAAAAGGTGTGCATTTTTCTTTTTTTAAGATAACAAAAAACAACAAAATGTGCATGGTTAGCTCAGCATAAAGCCAGGCCTTCTTGCTCAGGCCTCTCGGGCTGCCTATCCCTCGCTCGGCCGGTGGTGCATCGGGACCACAAACAGGCCCACAGATCAAAGAAGTGCACAATACCACCATTCTAGCATGATTTTTTTTGGCCCATTCCGTATTGGCCTGTCCGGATCAGCTCAGGACCGCCAACACTCTCATTTTCTCATTATTTTCTAAAAAAAACTCTCATTTTCCCATTTCTTACCAGGGCTACAAGCGGTTGTATTTTTCTTTTTTACAAAAACTTACATGAGCAATTTTCTAACTAGAAACTAGGTGCATATGCTACGAAAACCTACTTGGATGAATGGAGATATTCCCATAAATTTAGAAGCACGTCTTTTTCTACGTTCCTCTATCAAGCCGATTCTGGTGTACCTAGCACATATGGGGCAGCCTATCCTTTCACGTGACAAACAAAGGAACGCAGCGGATGGCTTGTAAAAAGCAGCACAGAAGGAAGGGGAGATCTAGAGATAACGGGGGCATGGCGGCCAGATTTGACGATTTCCTCTTCGTCCTAGCTTAGAAAATGGACAAACCGCCTTTACGCGAATCCGTAGGCAGCGCACATGCGCCTCCTTGAACACTATAAACAATTTTATTTCGCGCAAGTTGTTCATGAATACTTTTTTTAGGGAATTGTTCGTGTATACTTTTTTTAGGGAACTGTTCATGTATACTTAGTCAATCAATACTGAGTTATACACATGGAGTAGGTAGATTGATTTCGTTTTTTTTAGGGGGGTAGATTGATTTCGTTGGGGTATATTGTGTGGATGGAGTTCATCTACCCTCTTAGTACTTGTGTGGATGGAGTTTTCCAAGAGGCCACCTTGAGACGTGCGCGCCTAGCGGAGAGCCTCGGCATGGACGAGACGTCCTTCGGATCTGGTGACCAGGTCAGAATGCATGCCTCGACACGTGTGCCCAGCTGCTGCTTTGCATGCATCCATAATTCGTTCTCTGTGTACGTGCAGATTCGCGAGTAGGTGTACGTACATCGGAGCAGAACGTGAGCGGGCTGAATCAACGGCGGGTGGTCCGCGGGAGTTGCTGGCATGATCTTTCTCAGCTTAGCATTCCAGTCCGTTTGCCAGGAATCAGGGATGGGCTTGGAGAGAAGCTCAAGTGTTTTGCCTCCGTCTTGAAAATAAAAAGGAAAAAAGAATGGAGAATGAAAATCCCAATAAGTGTTGTCAGATACTCCCATCTTGATTTTCACGTGGCTATGGAATCCAATCATATGCATGTCATGGACGATTCGATGCTCTCTCACGCACACACACACTTTTGTTCCGTTCCGGTTAGCAGAAAAGAAAATGGGGTGCGTACGTATGGAGCTGTACAGTACTCACGCACACAGTAGCTTTTGGAGCGCACGCACCAGCACCACCTAACGACGACTGACAAGATCGATCCAGGCTCTCTCTCTTTCCCGCCGTGAATGCCTAGCTAGCTAGCATCCAATCCAATAGTCTTTATTCGCTTCCTCTTTCTCTTTCTTTCTACCATCCGCGGCCGACGTTTGCGCGCGAAACTTCGCAGAAACTACAACAGTGCATGCATATGCATGCATGCAAGGCCACCTGCATGGAACCCCACGCGCTCTCAAGACCTGTCCACTTTGATCATCTCATCGAGACAGCGGCCATATGCCCCCGGTCTGGTCTACATATGGAAGTGCATGTACACGCAGTGAAAAGGTTAGAAGAACAACAGCGAATGCTGCTAGTACATGCTTTGATCCGGCCTTGCGTCGGCCGGTGGAAAGTTCAAGTCTGCCAGAGGTGATCGCTTGGTCTGAACGACTGGCCAGCTCGATCGTCGACCTGATCGAAAGAGTAGCTTGCGTGCAAAGGTAAAACTGGACTTGAGTACTCGATGATGTATGACTACGTAAGACGGCGGGATTAGCAAGCGAGCAAGCGAGACGGCCGGGGCTAATTATCGTCGGCTAGTTTGACCAGCAGACAGTTGCCCAGATTGACTTGCCGGCTAGCTAGCCTCGTGTGTGGTGGCATGTGTTAGTTGCGACGGTACATATGGCCGGTGCGATGCGGGTGTTGTCGGTGGACACGGTCCAAGCACCAAGAAGCCATACGTACATGCACCAACTTCTTCTTTTTTTGCTAGAAAAATACACCCGCTCTTGGACACGTACGTATGCATGTACGTACTCGGGGTCCAAGCATGATGCATGGGATGCTCCTCTCCTACTCACTCAGCATGACAGTATTTTGTTTCCTCTACCCAAACTCCAACGTATAGCCAGCTGTGACCTGCCTTTCGCCTTTCCTCTTTTCTGATCGATTCCTTGCTTGTCCCGCGCCATCATGCCGATCGATCCATCGATCGATCAGCGACGATCCACACGGAAACTTTCTTGCAACACACAACTTTTGGGAAGTTGCAAGCCACGGGAATCGACCGGCCCGGAGAAAGCGCCTTTCCACGTCAACCTCGCACCTCGCTAGCTAGCTCCTGCAAAACTAGCCAGTAGCTTTTCAACGAACCGACCGACTAAGTTTGCGCGTCGTTGATCGATCAGCTAGTAGTACTGGTACAACGTAATGTATTGTTAATTATCTCAACGTATGTGGTGCACCGATCAAACTAATTTTGTCCATTCTACGTACAAGTGAAGAGAAACGAGGCCAGAAAATGGCTCATTCACTCGTGCCAGTCAAACAAGCGAGTAATGATGCACATTTTGTGAAGAAATGTTCGGTCCAAGCGTAGTACACGCGAAAACAATCACTCCCAACACGGGAAATTAAAATAGTAGCAACGATCAAGTATATATGCCACTACACGAGTACATCAATTATAACAAGAAAAAGGATGAGGCACTGAGGAAAGGCACAAGATTCTTGCGATCACTAGCCACATATATTATGCTCCCAAGAAACTATAGCCAGCAATATATAGTCGCTCCACTCACTACCCAAAAGCCAGCTGAGCAATGAACCAATACACATGAGTTGATGAGTACGATAGCTAAATATTAATGGTGCCCCATTATACATATGGAGTATATATCAAGAATCGACTACGAACGGAAAGGAAAAAATGTTGGAGTGCTAGCTTAGCTAGTAACTGATGGATGATCATACTAGTAACCGACGAGGGCAGCAGTGGCAGTTACGGCGGCCACCAAGCAGAGCGCGACCGCCGAGGTGCTGCCCCTGGTCGCGGACGAGGACGGCGGGGACCGGTAGTACCAGGGGTACCACGGCAGGATGGGGTTCGGCGGGGGCGGCGCCGGCCCGAAGTTGCCGCCACCTCCTCCGCCTCCGCCGCCACTGCCACCACCTCCACCGCCGGCAGGAGGCTGGTAGAAGCCGGGAATGTAGCCCCCGGAAGGCGGCGGGTAGCTCCAGGACGACGGTGTCGGCGGGGAGTTCCCGGAGGATGACGGAGGTGGGTACGCGTAGCCGGAGCCGGATGGCGAGGAGGGTGGCGGCGGGCAGTCGGCGCTGGAGGCCGGGGGCGTGGGCGGCGGCAGCAGGCACGGGTAGGGGCAGTCGGCCGGGTAGGTGTCGGCGACGGCGACGTCGAGGAGCAGCGCGGAGAAGACCAGGATCACGAGCAGCCTGTAGGACGCCATGGCCGAGAGCGACGGGAGTGCAGTGCGGTGCTGTTGTGAGCCTGTGAGAGAGATGGCAGTGGGAGTGTGGCTAGCTAGCTGGTGCGGTGGTGTGTAAATGTGGGAGAAGTGGAAGAAAGTGATGGAGACGTGAGGGGGAAGAAGAGGAGAGGAGAGGGGAGGAATGGTCTCCGGGGTTGGGTGGGTTTATAATTGGAGAGGAGGATGGAAAGGCATGGGAGTGGCTTGTGTTGTTAAGTGTACCTGCTAAATGCATGCTAATTGATTCCAATTATGGATTGTGTTGGTAAAGTAATGCTAGTTAACTCCAAGGAACCTCAAGGAGTAGTCTCAGGGCATCTCTCCAATCTAGACCCTCAAAACGCCTGTAAAGCGTCTGGACGGTAACTGTTCGTACGCATTTCGCCATCCAACATAGTATTCCCTTCATTCATAAATAAATGTACATCTAACTTTTCTCCTAAGTCAAAGTCTTACAACTTCGATCAACTTTATAGAAAAAATACCAGCATTTATGATACTAAATTAGTATCAGTAGATCCATTTTGAAATGTGCTTTCATAATATGCTAATTGATGTCATATATGTTACTAATACTCTTTCCTATATAGCAGACGTAACTCCATGATATTGATATCAGTCAAAGCGATGTCAACGGACAAGCAGACAACACTACTTCAATGCCAACGCGGCGACCGAGAAGCTTTTACTCCAGTCACCGCATTGAAGCCAAATTCCCGTCCCTTCACCTGGTCGCGCCTAAGGCTGGTCATAGTGGGGAGTAACTTATACTAGTGTCATGCATGATTGATTCTGCGTGATTGATTATAGTGGGGAGTAATTCTAAGAAATATAGAAACCGAGCGCCGAATCAATTTTGAAATTAAATTATTGATGCAATTAATTAGCCAAAAATTAAATACCTATGCAATTAATTAAATCCATTTAAATAGGATTTTTTTGCGTTGAATCAAGTCATTAATATAATTAATTAATTAGGTAGATAGTAATAAGGCATAGAGATGGTTAGACGAAGTAAGGATTTTCTTTCAATTAGGCATGCAAATAACTAGTTAGGTAGACAGTTAATCGCGTCGAATCAATTTCAAAGCGTGCACTGGCCATGACAGCCAGTAGACTCTCGCTGACGTTGGTGACTGTGAGCAGGCTCTCGGTGACATGGCTGGGCCGCGCTTGCCGATATGTGCTCGGGACATGGGCGACCAAGCGTTCGCTAGATGGATGAAGAGCATGCTCTGCGGGGCGTCTAGACGCTGACGGTTGACGAAACGTTGATGCGCGAGGTCCCTTTGAGGACGACGGCGACGATCGAGGGCAATTGGTCACACGCCATGCATCGCTCCTTACAAACTGTTTGATCTTGTAGCAACACACGGGTAAACTAGCTAGCTAGTGTAGTCAATATGCAAAACATGTCGTGATAGTGAAGGGAGGAAGTGTGGACTCGAGGATGGCGATGGATGTTGATCAGCTGGAGAAATTATGGTCCCGCTCGTGGCTCGTACGTACTACGTGCTCATTCAATCGCTTGAGAATATTCTGCGGTCCAGTTGGTAGATGTGTAGGCCAGGTCGGAACCATATGGCTTTTCGACATCTTTGAGAGCCTGCGTACATCGCGCGCGGGATCGTCGGATCTGTGTCACCAATACACCATCAGCACGCACGAACACTTGGACCCAACTTGCTGCCTGCTGCCTGTGTCGACCGCCCTGCTGCGATATCTCCGCCGCACTTAACTGTCAACGGAAGCAAAGTTGACAAAGCCCCGATCGAGAAATTAACGCGTATGCTTTTGTTTTGTTTTGTTTGGTTGGAGACGGCAGATCGATCAAGATTGGACTGTGGATCCTTTCATCTTTCGGGGAAGAAACCTTTTTTCCTTTCTTCCTTGTTCGTCTTTCTGGTCACGGACTTTATGCATGCCGGGTATAGCATAGATAGCTTTGGCCTTTGGGGTACGTGCCAGCAATGTGCCACACAGCTAAGCTAGCTCTTGATTTCCTCGCTGTCCGTCCAGCCACGGGACGAGTGAGTAGTGTGCCCGCCGTAGGCTTGCAACCTCACGTATACGGTATACCTAGCTAGGTGCTGCGTGCGTCCATCGGTGGAGAAGTAGGAGTGCACACGTACCATGCAGTAGTGGTAAACAATAGTCACATGCATATATAGCAAATGGGAATGGAGAAACAAGAGGGAGTCTGCTAGGTTCCAATTCCGATCTGCCGCCTGCATGGCTGCATGCATGTCATCCTGCTGTCTGAACCAACGGGCGGGCGGACGGACGGACGCCGAGTTGTTAAGCGGAAACAACCAAAGCTGTATAGTGTACGTGATTGGGTCAATGATCGACGGATGATCACAAACTCATGGACGCATGCCCGCGTGAACAGGTGACAGCAGCGAGCGGGAAGATACGACACGCCAACGGCACCGCCGCTGGGTGTGCTTTTGCTTGCTTGTTTGTTGAAGAAGAATGATTCAGAGGAAGCCAAGGGGACTGATGACTGACTGCGTCTTTTTGCCTGCCTGCCGCCGCCCGCCGGGGTAGGTATGCTATGCACTGTGTCTGTACACCCAGCGGCGTGGGGCTGCCGTGCCGACCAAGGGCAACTCCAACGCGCGATCCCAAATAGACGTTCGGTTGGTCCTGATACGGTCCATATGAGGTGGCAAAATGGAAGCCAATATCCAGTGTGCGCCGTCCGCAGGTCGGTCTATCCAACACGTGGCCTATCCCAAACAAAACAATGTCTGTGTTGGACTTTCAAAAGAAAAAAAACACCAAAAAAGTTAAAAATAAACAAAAAATTTGCAAAATAGCTTTAAACATAAATAAATTAATAAAATAGTCCATCATAATCGGAGCTGGACGTGAAGCAGGCTTCGGTGCTAGTGGTGACCACGGCATCCATACACGCTCCTCAGTGGCTTCCTCCTTCACCTCCGGCTTTACCTGCTGCTTAACGTCCAGCTCTGACACGTAGACGTCTCCGGAGGCCGACGACTCGACCATCTCCTGCAGGCCCTCCCATTCCTCCTCCTGGCGACGTCTGTACTCCCGCTCGGAGTCCTCCATGATGGCCTGCACGAGCCGCTCCTCCTCCTCGGCCGTCATGGCCGGAGGCTGCAGGGGCGCCGATGATGGGGAGGGAAAGGGCGTCGGCATCAGGCTGCGCACCCATGTGCGGCCGCACGCTCTGGGCGGGCTCGGTGCACGCACATGAGGCGCACTCTGGGACACACGAGGCGGGCTACGACCACGACCGGCAAAAAGATTTGCCGATGCATGGCGTGCTTGTCCTGGAACCATTTGTCCCAGAAGGGCGAGTCGACGTCGTACCTACGGTCGGCGAGGAGCTGGCGTGGAATTCAGGAGCGACAACCGGCGATCTCCTGGAGGCGGGCACGGCCGCTCGCTGGGACAGGGGGAATGGGCACCCCATCTGGGCTCAGATGCCACCCGTTGGGAAGGTGGGCATCTGACCACGGCAGCGGGGGGCCGGTCTCCTAGTACCGGCGACAGACGACGACCTTGACATACGACCTGAAGCACCGAGTGACCGCCGGAGGGTAGATGAAGAAAGATGCCGGTGAGGTGGAATGGCTGGGCGCACTTCCAGACGAGGCGAACGACGACCCCGCCTTGTGGTCGTGCTTGCTCTTCTTGCCGGGGTGCCACTTCCAGAACCGCATGGCCGGCAGGGAGCTAGGTGGGCGGCGGCCCTAGGCTAGGGTTCGGTGTCTCCGATGGAGGGAGCAATGGAGATGGTGGGGAACTGGAAGTGGATGGAGAAGTGGAAGTGGCAGTGGAAGTCCACGGCTTCGCCGTAAAAAGAGACATGGTTGGGGCCGTCTCGATGGCTGACATGCGGGCCCTCTCATCCATGTGCATTGACTGGGAAGGTGGAAAGCAGTTGGACAGCCGACATGCGGACCCGAGACGAATGCCGAGAGGCCGCGTGCCCTTCCGTTCTCTGTCTGTTTGACCGCAAAGCCAAACAAAGTTTACAACCATGATGAGGCGAGTTGTGGACGCTTTTTACGGATGGGGTCGCTCGTTGGGCGGCTCGATCTGGACGATTTGGGGTCCCACGTTAGGAGTTGCCCTAAATAAACCGGCGCCATGCCCGGCCGAGCGCTGCTCTAGGAGTCAGTTTGTAGGGCTGCGGTGGGTTGTCAGAGATAAGGAGACGAGGATGAGAAGCTTCTCATCTCTCTGTCTCCAACCCACCCCTGTGTACTGTCCTGTGCCATGTTTCTTGATCTCTTCGCTAGCCAACAAATGGGTACTTGTGCTACGATATGTCGATATACTCTTGTAAACAATCCTTCTACTCGTCCCATAGTGCAGCTAAACGGCGATTATGCACGTTACTCGTGGCTACTACGCACCATATTAAGCTTGCATCCACAGTGGTCGTGCCCGCCCGGCCGGCCCCGGTGGGCTCAAGTGAACCCAAGATTTTATTCGTGTGGTACGTGCTCATGCACATGCACTTGAGAGGAGAATATTCTGCGGTCCAGTTGCGGCTGGCCGTACGTAGCCGGCCGGGTCGAAACGATGATCGATGCACGTACTTACTGGCAGATCGCGTCTCGGGATCTTTCAGAGCCAGCGCCGTTCTTCGTGCTCTTTTCGCCCGCGGGATCGTCGGTCGGATCTGTGTCACCAATGCACCACGCACTGTATCCATCCATCCAAAGTTTGCCCTCATGTCTTTTTTTTTTAAACATCAGTACAGACACAAGCGCTCATATACACGCGCATACACTCATCCCTATGAACGCCTTTGTACAGTACTATAATTTGTTTTGTTTGGCTGGAGACAGCAGATCAAGATTGGAGGATGTACGTGGAGGGTGGTACCTGATCGACCTGACCGGCGTGATCGATGATGGGTGTGGATTCTTTCATCTTTTGGGAATTCCTTTCTTTGTTGTTCGTCTTTCTGATCAGCGGCCTTATGCCGGGCGGGC